ATAGCTATACAAAGGATGCGGGGGGGGGGGAGGGGCTTAAAATAAGCCTGTAAACAAGCAACAGGCATAGAATGGCCACCTTTTTCATTAGCAGAAAGGTTTAATCCAAAGCAACGTATATTTCCTTTCTGTGAGAAAGCAGGGTCAGACCCTGGAGCTTTTGGGATTTAGGGTCTTGCTCAAGGGCCCAATGGTGAGAATACGGTTCCAGAGACTCAAACCAGTGACCATCCAGTTACAAACACAGTCTACGAACCACCAGGTCCACCGATGTGTGTTGGCACCCGTACACCATCCTGGGGTTATAGTGCCTTTATATCCCACTACGACTGCGTGTCATGATCCTGCGAAATTCCTAATATTCCTACTTGCCATAGAACCACTTTAAATATATCATGTTATTACTTTGTACAGTAAAACTACAGTCGACCCTCTTCCATGTTGCAGGGGTTTGCGGAGCAGGCCTCTAGAGTTCTAGGAAAACTAGGTAAAATTCTTGGTCCCCTTGGCGACCGGAGGGAAGTAAAGGGAAAAGATACAACAAATGCGACATTCAAAGATCACTGTGCTATATCACGTGAGAGGCTGCTGTAAACAAGCCTGGCGTCCTCCAAACCGCCATTGTGCATATATTTTATGCATTTATGAGTTGCTAAACTTTTTGTGGGTTGCCTGCAGCTTTCACAAAATTTCCAAGAACTCACGAAAAAAATCCTATAAAATTTCTTATGCCAACCCCCTGAAATACCTAAACCACGATGAGGAATGTTCTGATGCAGACAGGTCAGTTGTACTACATTTTATTTTAACCATACCATAATATTCCAGCTTCGATAGGTACATTGGCTTAGATTGTACATAGGTACAAATTTTTACCAATTTGTAATATAGCTGTTTCCTTTCTGCAGGAACAGTAATGATAAGGTCCTTGCAAATCGATCTGCAGAGCTTTTGCCTTTGGTGATGGTTTCGTTTTCGTGTGTCCACAGTGCTTTCATTTGTCACTGATTTTTACATGGAAAGCTGGAGAAATGACACAGCTACTGGGTCCATCCTCCACACAAGTGTTTAGCTCAAAACTACCTGCCACTTATATGGTTGAATGATGCTCACGGGGACACAGGGTGCCTTAAATATCACCAGCACTATGCCTGTGAGCCACTCCAGCCATTTCATTAATCTCCTCTTTTTCGGTAAATGCTTGCAGTGCGTGAGATTCTTTCTGTACGTCAGATGACTGTTGGGTCACTGCGAGTCACTGCTGTCACGGCTTGGTTAAGAACATTCTAGCTTTATCCTTATGCCCACAGGGCTTTGGTCCAGGATGGGCAGAGACGTTCTCAATTCGTCCAGCAATAACCAGCTGTAAGATAAACAGATCTTATCATAGTCGCAGGACCACACCCTGCCTGACTGTGCCGGCCCTCGGTGGCTTGGCTGCTGGATCTGAGGTCTGACGGCTTGCATGCCTTCCCTAAGGTCAGGACTCATAGAGCAGGGAGGTTGTGGTCGTCGCCTATGCTCTTTGTGCAGTGTGTGTGCCTGATGAAATGTTACTTTGATGTTGATGAGGAGGTGTGTGGCCAGCGAGTTAGACCTCTGCAATTGGAAGGTGGCTGCTTTTAATCCCGTACTCTGTAGACTAGGCTTCTTAAAGAAAGACCTTAACCCCCAGAAAAATACTCCAGGGCACCAAATGGAGAGCTGAGCCTGCGCTCAGACCCCAGGCTTCACTCTCACCTCTATATATTCACTTTCCCACCACTAGTATCAAGTTCCTGGGCTGTCTCAAATGGAAACTCTTGTAGCTCCTGGAGACTTTCGTGTGACGCTTTCCAACCACACAACAGGAACTGGAACTGTTACGCTAAATAAGCGAGGCAGATGCAAAGAGGTCACAGATGAATTCTTCACACACAACGTCAAGCTGTGTCAGGACGGGTGCCCATCTGACCCTGTCCCATGCGTGTTCTCCCAGTTTGGCCAGCAGTTCTCGCTGGCCATCCGGTTTGGTGTTCCTCTAGTCTGTTTGCCTGCTCCCTGGGCCACTGCATGGCTTAACAGGCTAAGTAGCTGGCCACTGTTCCCTACTCACCTTTTTCAGTTGTGGCTGGCCAGCCTCAACTAGTTTAACTTTTGTTATTTTGTCTTTTCTTAGTTCACAAGGTGTTTGTGTATTTCAGTTACTTTTTTCTTTTTGCTCCCTGTTTGTTCAGTTTTCCTTGTTTTAGTTTTTGTGATTAGATCTTTTGTCTATCTGTTTATGTCCACAAAATTGTGGACAATTGTCTCACCTGCCCCTCATTGCCCCTGGTTCGTAATAGCCCACACCTGCCCCTCGTTGCCCCTGGTTCGTAATAGCCCACACCTGCCCCTCGTTGCCCCTGGTTCGTAATAGCCCACACCTGCCCCTCGTTGCCCCTGGTTCGTAATAACCCATACCTGCCCCTCATTGCCCCTGGTTCATAATAGCCCACACTTGCCCCTCGTTGCCCATGGTTTGTAATAGCCCACACCTGCCCCTCATTGCCCCTGGTTCATAATAGCCCACACTTGCCCCTTGTTGCCCATGGTTCGTAATAGCCCACACCTGCCCCTTGTTCTGTTCTTTAGTCAGTCATTATGGCTTCCCAGTCTTGCTCCAACTTTCGCTCTGTTCCCTGATTGTGTTCAGTTGTTACTTTGTGGCTGTTTCCCTGTGTTGCTATGTAATTCTTAGTTGTAGTTACCCTGTGTTAGTTATTGTACCTTTTTGTGTTCCTCCCTTCCTTTGGTATTGTTGTTCCCAGAATTGCTCCCTGTCTTAGTTTAGGTTTGAACCCCCCCCCCCCCACCATGGCCTCTCTTTCTGGTTCCCCTTTTGTTGTTTTTGAGTTGAATTAAGTCTTCAATCTGTTGTGAACCACTCCGTGGACCATCCCTCTCTTTCCTTACCAGCCCTGTCATAACAGTTTGTTAGTTTTTTTATGTGAACTACTTTTACTGTTGTGATTTTTTTTCCAGTTTTATTTTTTTATTTTATTTTTTCTTTCTTGTGATAAGCTTCATTTTGTATACAATTCAAATTCTATATGTATATCATCTTCTGAGTAATTGCTTAACAATACTTGTACATCCTGACCTGCCCATTTTGTATACTTTTCTTATATACATTTTTTGTATATAAAAATTTTTTTTGTGTAACTTAAACCTGGTGCTGATGCTTGTAGTAACCAATCAGCAAGTTATCGCTGTAAGTCCCACCTCAGTAGTTCATGGTCTAAGGAAAAGTACCTATTCTGGAGTATGTACAGAAAAAGGGTTCCGAAACTCCTTCTAAGGAACTACAATTGAATACAGTGGGAATGCAACAAAAGTTCCCTGTTCTAGAAAAAGGTTCTGGTTCCTGAAAAAGGTAACGTACCAGCCTTGTACACTCCCATAAGTCCTTTAAATTAGCTCCAGAGATGTAGACCAATCTGTGTTTCTAAATCTGAACATTTTGTTTAATTTTTCTGACATTTGTTTCATTTTTCCATACTATAATCCATCATACCTGCAGCTGAAAAAAGTGATATCTAATGTACCTGCACAGATGGCAAATAAGTTTTAATTTCTTTACAAGACAGCAGGACACATTGTACCCTTTAAGAAAACCAGTTGCACAGTGTAAGAGAAAGATCTATACAGTGGTGGTAGTGATGGGGGGCTTATATTTCTTCCAAATGCTCATTTTGGTCTCTTGGCAATAACCCACCCTGTACAAAATTTTACCATGATACAGTCAGCAGATCATTCACAATGTAGAGAACCAATCAAAAATCTGAACACACCTACTAAAATTTTTTTGTTTTTCAGCAAGATAATGACCTTAAGCACACCTCCAGGTTATGTAGTAATTGTGACCTTATAAATAAGAGATGGACAGATCACCTGCCCCCGCAATCCTCTCACGCTAGAGCTTGTTTGTGATGTGTTGGATCCAAGAGTAAGAGTAAGGTGGAAGCTCCATCAGAACTGTTGGAGAAGCATTTCAGGTGGCTACTTATGGAAGCTGGTTGAAAGAATGCCAAGAGTCTGCAGTGTTGTCATCAAAATTAAAGGGTGCTTATACTGAAGAGTCTAAAATCTGAGAAAATTTTGAGATGTTGATCTCTTCTCTTGGTTGTTGCAATATTTGAAGAGTATTTTTTACTATAATGCGAATAAAATGTCTAAATGTATTAACAGCAGAGGTGTCCAGATTTTGACTGGAATTGTATAAGTAACTTGTCAGCGTTACACTGAGGTGATAGATTCAGTTTAAGTATTAAAAATACTTTTGGACTCACTTGCTTCCGTTGAAATGGAAATTTATTAAAGTTTTAATCTGGATTTAGGAGCTGTCTAGGCCTATATTAATAATCTATTGTTTAAATGAATAAAAATGGTAAGTGAGGTTTTGGGTTGGCTTTGCATGTCTGTTCAGGTTTCACTCCCAATTCACTGGTATCTGTCAGCTGTCCAAAAAGATATCGGGCAAATCAGTGCTTCTAAATTACACATGGAATGCATGTGACTCGCCCAGTGATAGACTGTGTTGGACAAGCTTATGTGGACCATAGGTGGACAATCTGTTCAACTGGATCATGTCAAAGTAATGTTTTCAGTGAAGTGCTGAGGTCCTAAAGAATAACTGATTGAAAAATGTCCCCAATGTTAACGGCTACTTACACGTATCAGAATGAAGTATATAAGCACATAATATTTTGTTAGAAGTGAGAGGTACGTATTTCAGACAATTCTGTTGCAGTGGAATAACTGACATGCAGAAAGTGTGTTGGCTCCCCCTTGTGGCAGGATGAAGAAAGGCATGGCAAGTTCAACAACAGAGGCCTGAATGATCATGGGTGTATAATCGAATTATCACATCCCCCCCTTTAAGTTACTCATTCTTTTTATTATATGCTGAAATGTTCTGAACTTCAGTGTGTGTGTGCAGCACCTCAATAAAGCCAGACATAAATATTCTGAAGGTTGTTTTTAATTAGCATAAGCAAGATAATTCATGTTTCTGAACAAATCAGGAAAAGACATCACAGCGTTAAATAGGGTAGCGGAAGCTGGTTCAGCGTGATGATGGCAAGGCGGTCTGGGCGCGGTGTGTTCACTACTCCGGCGGCAGTGGCAGCGGCAGGCCGGCAGCGACGGGGAAGCAGTCGCTGACCTTGCAGTGGCAGTCCTCCACGTGCAGGTACGTGTACGGCAGCACGTCCCCGTTCAGGCACTGCAGACTGATAGTGCGGTTGCTGGTACGCAGCTCCTGGCAGCAGGTGCAGGAACTATCCCTGGAGAATATTTCCTTGGAGAACATTTCCTTGGAGTACCTGCAGGGGGCAGCAGCACTGTCACACAGGTCCTTGAGGCTAAATGCTGCAAGCATCACCTTTTGTGGACAATTAAGCTACTTTGATAAAGAAAAACTATTACCCCCCTTCTGATTTGTGCCTATATTTCAATATGTCTTAAATATTTCTATTTATTGCTCTCTTTGCACTATGGCCAACAAGATCAATATCTCCTCACACTGATTGACCCATGTCTCATATAGCTGAAGAAGACAATTTGGCTGTAGAATGAATGAATGTATGAATGAAATAGCTAAACATTAATAGTCTTGGTTTAGTACAGTAGCAGATGCTGATTGTGTCTCCATGGTGTCTGGGTGGGTCCACAGGCTTCCTCACCTGCTGAAGGTGTTGCAGGCCCCCTCGCAGTAGGTCATTTCCACCTTTTCCGCAGACTGGCAGCCCTGGTAGAAGATATGTCTGTGCATACTTTCCACCTTGCACGCCCTCGCTTTCTCCACACCTGTTGAGAGAATCACAGCCATCCATCCAATCCTACTTCGAGGGGGCCCGTAGTTTACAGCTTTTTCAAGATTTTACTCCATGATATCACTTGAAAAGACGTCTCTACAGCTGACTTCACTTCACATTTCAATTTATTTAGGAGATGCTTTTATTTTTTGAGGAAGCAGAATCATTCAGTTCCTGGAGTAGCTTGGGCTTGAAGGCCTCACTTAAGGGGCACAACAGTGAAATCACTCTGCCAAGCCCAGGATTTCGACCAGCAACCTTCCGGTCAGGCATAGTGCCCTAAGTTGCTGCCCCACACAGCACATGACAATACACCAGAGAGTGGGAGGTGCAGGTCACTTTGCCAGTGACCTCCTTGGGCGTGTTTTACTCACAGACTTTGCAGCAGCCGTCAGCGGCTGTCTGAATCGTGCCCTGAGGAGAGTAGAAGCATATCAGTTACTTTCGGGAATCATAAAAACACATTGGGCCATTGAATAAAGTACCTGCAACCCAGAGTGCTGTCCAATGCCATTCTGATGTACAGTACAGTGCAGAAGCCTCCTAAAGTCACCCTGCACGGTATTTGAAGCAACTATCCCATACATCAATGTATATTTTTTTTACTCAACCACTAGCACACAATGTTCAGCTAATCAACACATCATTAACGTTTCAACTAATTAAATAAAATAATGAAGTGAGCTGGAGGTGAAATTTAACAAATATATGGAACGGCTGAGGTGCCCCTGAGGAGAGGTTTGGGAACTGAAACGGTGTTCATCTAACCATCCAACAAGATATCAGTAACTTTTTAAAGAACAGAAGAAATTCTTACTAGTTTTTACTGCGACTCTTAAATTGCATGTGTTCTAATGTTACATTGTGTTTTTGTTCTGAGCACATATACACTTACTACCCAGATGAATACCTTTAAACGTTTCCTTTGACTGCCTAAGGCTTTGCACAGTACAGTCTGTGCCACCCACCCATCCCCCATCCCTGCATCAGGGACTCTTACCGGCTGGCAGTTGGCCTCGTGGAAGGGTGGGCACTGGATGCTGGAGATGGTGCTAACAAAGGTGTCTTTGATCCTCACGCAGCTGTACACTTCACACTTATTTTCTGCCGGGGACCATGTGTCTCCATGCTGAGGAGAGATAGAAGTGAATGCTGGGCCCTATCTGAGTGGCCCTGAGCATCTGTGAGTGAGGCCTGAGCCTTTCTGAGTGAGCCCTGAGCCTCTGTGAGTGAGGCCTGAGCCTTTCTGAGTGAGCCCTGAGCATCTGTGAGTGAGCCCTGAGTCTTTCTGAGTGAGCCCTGAGCCTCTGTGAGTGAGGCCTGAGCCTTTCTGAGTGAGCCCTGAGCATCTGTGAGTGAGCCCTGAGCCTTTCTGAGTGGCCCTAAGCCTTCTGTGAGTGAGCCCTGAGTCTATCTGAGTGAGCCCTGAGCATCTGTGAGTGAGCCCTGAGTCTTTCTGAGTGAGCCCTGAGCCTCTGTGAGTGAGGCCTGAGCCTTTCTGAGTGAGCCCTGAGCATCTGTGAGTGAGCCCTGAGTCTTTCTGAGTGAGCCCTGAGCCTCTGTGAGTGAGGCCTGAGCCTTTCTGAGTGGCCCTAAGCCTCTGTGAGTGGGTCCTGAGTCTTTCTGAGTGAGCCCTGAGCCTATTTGAGTGGCCCTGAGCCTCTGTGAGTGAGCCCTGAGCTTCTGTGAGTGAGGCCTAAGCCTTCTGTGAGTGAGCCCTGAGCTTTTCTGAGTGAGTCCTGAGCCTCTGTGAGTGAGCCCTGAGCCTTTCTGAGTGAGCCCTGAGCATCTGTGAGTGAGCCCTGAGCCTCTGTGAGTGAGCCCTGAGCCTCTGTGAGTGAGCCCTGAGCCTCTTTGAGTGGCCCCTGAGCACCAGAGGTGGCAGATCCCCACCCACCTGCAGCAGATGCATGGTGCCATTGATGTCAATGATGCAGTGTGTCTGGACACACTTCCCACAACAGTCATACATGCTCAGCTCCATGTATTTATACCCCTGTGAAAAAACCAAGAAGATTAATTTGTTTAGCTGTGTCATGTGAAGTTCTTAGAAGACTTTCAACCTAAACTGAGTGGATTGAGTCTCCAGCTCCTTACCGGGTCACAGTCTTGGTTGCAAAGGATGGGCAGACATTTGATCTGGTAGAGTCCAGTGCTGGGGTCTTCTTCAGTGGTGCAGGTGCAATTTTGACAGCCAGCCATGACCACTGTGGCATGAGGCTTGCAGAGGGGACAGACCATCAGTGCACTGGACTCACAAGGCGATATCAAAGCTATACTAGCTCACGGTTTGACAGAGCAGGTATGTATGATGGCTTATAATTACCTGGTATTCTACTTGTTTGTGTAGGCAGACCTTCTTTGGCTCTGGGTGTGACAGAAAGGCAGCAGTCAGTTTGTGGGGTACAGGGACAGCAGTATAGTTGGTAATCAATGAAAATGAAAGAGCACAAGGAGGTAAGAGGACTACAGAGCTACAGGTAAAGGCTATACCGCATGTGTGTTCGGGACAGCATTTCTCAGGAGGCACCGAGACCACTGGAGTAAATCCAGCCCCACAGCTGTGGTCCTTCTCCGGGCAGGTACTGCTGTCACAGCCTGTGTAGAGCACAAGAAAGCACCATCTGAGTGAAGGGATGAAGGAATCTACACAGCAAAGTAGCAGAAGGCCGAGAGAGGCTGGGCGGTGCTTACGGCAGACTAGGCTGGAGCAGCAGGGGTTCACGGGGTTGGACTCGTTGACGAGAATGAAGCCTGGCACGCTGCAGGAGGTCACCGTAGGGGGGGGGCACACGCTGGGCCTGCATCTCACCAGCCCTGAGACCCGGTCGCAGACGCAGTCCTGGCACTTGTACTGGAACTCTTCATCGAACTGCCAACGATAAAACGCAATAGTCAGAGGGTGTCCGCCAGGCTGTCCCGCATATGGTGGAAGGGCACGCCTCTTCAGGAGCAGCTGGAAATGAAAGAGCGCAGTGTACATACCTCTCGAGGCACACCTTCTGGATCCAAACATCCTACAGCGACAGAAACATGGGTCAGATTTATCCGATGCGCTTAGTGGGCGGAGCTTTTTTAAATCATCTACTTCACGGCGCACGGGTGCTCTGTTGTATATGTGGATGGTGTTAAAGCCACAAACAGCCACCTACCACACTTTTCAACACAAATATCAGTCTCCTTGCTGAAGAGCTTCATGCCATCGGGACAGAAGCAGCCCTCAGTCACGACAATGGTGCTTGAGTCCTCAGGACTGCAAATGGGAATTTAAGCTAAGGTTCAAATGTGACAACAACTCCTAACAAAATGAGCACACTACAGCAGATGCTTTTGTCCAAAGTAACATATACATTTTTTTGAGAAAGCAGGGTCTGACAGTTCCTGGAGCAATTAGGGGTTAAAGGCCTTGCTCAAGGGTCTAATTGTGACTTGAACTGGCAACCTTAGAATCACAGACACAACATCCTAACCCACTGGTGCCCCTTCTAATGCAACCTGACTCTTGTTTATCTGGGTGAGTATGAAGGTTAATGCAGGGTCTGACATCCATGAGAACATTCGGTTCCCAGTTGGCCTATATGGAAACATACTTATCCTGACAGGTCGGTGGTTCTGCTGGTCCACACGGCTTGTAGACCTTATCTCCAGAGCAGTCAGCAGCTGCAAAGGAAAAACAGAAATTATACTGTATTATCACCAAAGCCAAGGGATACAGCAATGGACTCTTCCATACTTCTTTTACTGTAGAGAAGATGCTTCCCAATCCAGTCCTCTGGGAGCCCCAGAAAGTCCACATTTTTGCTCTCTTCCAGCTCCGGGAGGGAGCACAAATGTGGACCAACGAGGGGTGTCTGAGCACCGGGTTGGAAAACACTGCTGTAGAGTATGTTTTTTTTCCAGTTCAACCCAATTACTGTCACAAGCTGGCTAATGTGTATCATCCTGAAAGGCCACTGCAGGAATTCCAGGACATGAGTTACGATCCCTAGATATGTCCTTCTCTTCAACTTAAATAGACTTGAACATGTTCCTCTGTCCTTCAGCCTCAAGCAGTTTGAAGACTTTTGGGCCCTTGGAATGTCTTTACTGTTGCATTATATCTCTATAACTGTGGATCTCACACATTATGAAAAGCAGAATCTGTAGTGTTCACATTACAGTTGCTGGATTAAGGTGATTAAGATGGGATAGGTGGGCATACCACACTTGGTGGTGTAGTTCCTCCAGTAGATGCAGATGCCAGCTTGGGCACAGGCGGCACTGTAGCTTTGAAGGCTAGTGCACTCCACAGTGGGGTTAGACATGTGGCAGCTATCAAACACACAGCCTTTATAGAAGTTATCGGGGGGGATCAGGGGGTGGCAGTCAGCGAACAGCCTGTGAGGACAGAGGGGGCAAGGAAAATGTGAGTTAAGGCCTGCAGAGACTGGCAAACATGCGCTGAAGCTCCCATCGCACATACGCCAACTAGGCAACGGGCAACCTGATGTTCCAGGTGTGTTAAGCAGTGGACAGGGCACCTGCTGTTCAGCAAGTCGCAGAGAGAATCCGGTGTGCAGGGCTCGTATGTAGCCTCTGGAACTGGAGGCTTGGGACCACTGGGTGGTATGCATTCAGGCCTGTGGATGTCCGGGATGGGCCAGTGGTCTCCCATCAGCGCACAGCTCTCCACCAGCTGGCCACTGGGCAGCATGCAGTCGTCGGCTGGGTTGTTGTTGCAGGTACCTGGGTGACAAGCGCAGTTCTCAGCTCAATCAGGTCCAAAAGCATTAAGAATCCATGAGAAGCTACATGCGATAACAGCTATTTACTGCTGGTGCCACTGAGGAGGTGAACAGCTATTCAACACATGCTGCATTGCAGTAGATACACTGGTGCAATTAGCTATTTCGGTTATGGTTTGTTTTTGGTCAGTGCCAAATTTTGAAGACCACACTTTGCTTACCACATTGTCCCTGGGTGTTTTTGCCAAAGTGCTTGAAAGGCAGGCTGATGCTGAACCCAGTTACGCCAAAAGTCACCACCACCTCCAACGAGGGGATCTCAAGGATCATGGTAAGACCACTGGAAAGAACCTTAACGCCACCATGCACAAGGGGCAGGCGTGCTGGGGTTCCGTCCACAATAACCTGGACACACAGTAAGAATGGGAAAGATTGTTATCTCAGTGCTCTTCTCCTAAAGCTCAATAAATTCTCAACAGAGTTACAGATGGACCTAACCTCCATCTTGGGGGCACCAATCACATTGTGGTTCTTTAACGTGACGACGAGAGTGCCATAGGCCACGACGATGGACCTGGGGCAAGACACATCCTCCCCGGGGTCACAGTTCACATTGTCTATGTAGATGTTCAGGTTGTGTTTAGGTGTTTTCTCCTCCATCAGCACATATGTACAGTTCCCCTGGAAGCTGTAGAAATGCCCGTCGAATGTTATGTAGTGTGGGTCTCCCCAGCCTTCACAGAAGCCTGGAAACAAGCAGATTTGTTGAGTAAATTGAAATCTTAAGATGACCATACTTAAGGGCAGCCGGTTATTTCCAGAGGAGAGGCATAGGAAGGGGGCAAAAGTAAAATGTGGCTGTCACTGTCTTCTTTCTACGAAGTATATACATAAAAATCTCAATATTTTCATAAATTACACAATAATTATGATTTATCCAAGCAATTCTGGGAAATAGTAATATGGCAGGTGTGTTACACACATGCACTTGGGAAGACTTACGTCCCACGATGCCATTCAGAGCCAATAAATAAGTGGGGGCCAAACCCATTTCAGGAGGATGGTACCATCTTGTTCATGTTGCTCTTCTTGTAAATATCTTACCAAATATTTTCATCAAAAATCAGTCCATCACATTTACTTATCAGGGTGCTTTTCCCCCAAAGTCTTACACATTTTTTGAGGAAGCTGAGTCAGAACAATTGGAGGTTAAGGGCTTTCCTCAAAGGCCCAATGGTAAATCATTCTGCCAAGTCTGGGATTTGAACTAGCAACCATCTGGTCACACGAACAACATTCTGAGTCACACAGCACCCCCAAACAATCAGAAATATTACAGCACATCATTCACCTTGTTTCTGGGACCATGTGAGGTCAGGGGCATGTATGTGGCATACGATACTCACAGTCACACACGTAATGTTGGCAGCAATAGTCCTCATCAAACACCAACACTGGCTTTTTGCCATTAGCACATTCGATCTCCTCCAGAGGTGGACATTCGTATGGGATTATCTCAATGATGTTATCCTCAATGCATCTAGCCAGCGTGCAGTTGCAGAGGAGAAACGTCTCATTTTGCTGAGGATAAAAAGTAAAGAAAAAAAAATACATCCATAAATGACTTTCTAATGAATATTTTTGTCTTTTTGGATCATTTTGAGTGGACAATATCTTGACATTTTTTCATCAGGCTTCTGGCGTTTTCAATGAATATCAGTATTATGTTTGTTAACAGAACATCCTTAAGCCCACTGCGGCACCAAGTTATCATTTATTTATTGTTCACTCACTCTTATATTACTCCATCCTGTCTTGTTTCTCATTGCACGGCTCTCGCTTCTGTATCACACTGCTGTCTGTTTTGTACTGCACTGCTGTCTGTCGTGTATTGCACTGTTGTTTGTGATGTATCATATTGCTGCCTATCCTGTATCGTATTACTCTCTGTCCTGTAATGTACTGCTGTCTGTCCTGTATCACAATGCTGTCTGTCTCTTTTTGCACTGCTGTCTGTCCTGTATTGCACTGCTACCTGTCCTGTATCACACTGCTGTCTGTCCTGTATCACACTGCTATCTGTCCTGTATCACACTGCTATCTGTCCTGTATC